TGATATAGCGATATAAGTAATAGCGATAATATTAATATGTATAAAACTACAACATTATTGTGAATTAATCGCAAATTTAATAATACATGGAAGAGAAAAACACCGACATAAACTACAAGTTTCCTTTAGTTCGTAAATGTGCGAGTATCGAAGAATTTTTTTTTTTTTTTTTTTTTTTTTTTTTTTTTTCCCCTCGTAGATAGAATAAAGTTTGCCGTTACATGCGCGCAATAAAATTAAGAAATTTAACAATTTCAACGGCGACTCGGCGCAACCGTCGATTCAGTCTGACGATTCACGAGGACTCGTCGACGATCGCGCCTAATGGGCATTTAATAAACCCAAAGGATATGACGTCGACGAGGTATTTCACTTTGAAAGCGTGATTGCTCGTGTTTCTTTTTATATATATTTTTTTTCTTTTTTTGCATTCTCATAGCGATGACTTCTCTCAGAAAACAGATAAGCATTTAAGAAATACACATATGCATACACATCCACATACTCACGCGCGCATATATTTGTTTTTTTTTTTGCTTACATTTTAAAAATATACTTTTTAATTGTTTTTTTCGTGTTAATTTAAAAGATTATGAACAATCTAAATAATTATTTTTCTTTATAAATGATAAAGATGAAAGATTTTTAATTAACAAATATTCAATAATTGCATAAGTGTAAAAATAGTAACAAATCAGTAAACAAAGTAATAATATCTAACTATATAGTCTGAGCTAAGTAAGTTTTCTATACATTATGTTCTTCCTTCTCTCTTATTTTTCATATTTAAAAATATATATATATATATATATATATATATATATATATATATATATATATATATAAATACATTTGTAATAAGTGTTTACAGTAACACCAAAATAAACACAGCATTTGCAATGCATTTTAACAATCCTATAAGAAAATAAATGAGTTTTAACCTTTCGTAATTGAATAATTAAAACTTTTTATCACATTTTAGTCTGATAAAGTGTAAATAAAATAAGTTTTTATTTAATTTTAATGGACTCCTACCAATTAGTAACATTAACTTGTAACTTGAAATTAACATCTAGCCACTTAATAATAATAATTATTTTATTAATTATTTATTTTTTTGTTTGTTTTATTTTCTTTTCTTTTTATTATTATTTTATCTCTCATTATTCTTTCTCCATTCAAACGCTTAACCGTTTTCTGCACTTTTATGTACATGATTGGAAAGTATAGATATGCAATTAATTACACTTGGAACCTCGCTTTCAAAACTCTCAAATGCGTCAGATTAGAACGTGGCGGCGTCAACGCTGGTGGCAAACACGCTTGACTGATTGGACCACATTTTGCAAGGTTAAACGATAACCGAGCGCATAAATACGTTCTCTATACATGGACTCATTTAAATAAATTTTCTCTCTGAAATTTCACGTCAGCACTAAATTTTTCATTACAAAACTCGCGGCTATCATGCTTTATAATAACTCGTACGCCCTTAAACACATGTACACGCAAAACTTTTACAGTTGCAACAATATAGTGCGGAAGACCAATACTGCTTTCGGCTTGATTTGAATACGAAAGCTTGACAAAATCAACAATTGTCCATCGCAGTACCGTATAACGTGCGTGGCGAAAAATAATTGCAGCCCGAACACCGTTTGCGAATCGTTCGAGAGACGAGCGCCATTACCTTTTCCCTATTTATTCTTTTAAACAATTAGAATTCTCTATCTCTTTGTTTTTCAAAAAAAAAAAAAAAAAAAAAAAAAAAAAAAAAAAAAAAAAAAAAAAAAAAAAGTGCATCCCAACACCGAAAAAATTTACATTATGAAAAAAGTAAAAATCAACAAATAACGTATCTTCATTAAATCATTTCCTTTAAGTTGCTTTTACTCTATTTCCAGCCCACCCCCTCACTCACTCACTCTCTCTCTCTCTCTCTCTCTGTTCTTCCAATGAAATACAGAAAAACATCGCACGTGGTAAAACAAAATTGTTGGCAAATAAACAAACGAGGAACCTACGTGAAAGTTTTTTCAGTCATGAAATAGAAACACACATAGCACGCACGCGCGCGCGCACACACACATACATACATACACACACACACGCGCGCGCGCGCGCGCACGCACACATCAAACACATAATAAATTTTTCTTTGTTTCTTTCTATAATTCTTGATTAACACTCTTTACTTGTGCGTTGGGTGCATACATATATCTACATCAATTTTTTTTTCTCTTTTTTTCTTTTTTGAAAAAATCTACATTCACTTGTACACATACATATGCAAATAATTATATATGTAGGTATCTATTCGTTTATTTATTTGTTTATTATGTTGTGCGCTCATAGAACATTCAGTAATAGTAAATAATTATACAACTATATTTTCATAACTACAATATAATAATAATAATAATAATAATAATAATAATAATAATAATAAAAGCTATTATCTTCATTAATAATATAATAGCGGTAATCATAACAGCAATAATAAAAATAGCAATGTTGCAAGTAATATTGATTGAGAGAGTAATAAATTGTCGATAAACTATTTTCTATAATACACTCGATTCAGGGTCCTGTACACGTACACAGGGTCACTGCTAAGCAGTCAGCTCTTGTATATTTGTGCATAACTTCATTTCATCATTAGAATTTATATATTTCATAATTATCGCTTGCATCTCTGCCCGTAACACGGTCCGAGAAAACTACTACGCATAGTCGTCTATCTATATAAATCTTATACAAATCGTCCTATTGTCGTCTCTCGCACTTCACGTTTTAACATTATAAACTTTTGGAAATACATAATATGTGCATTTTATGTGGACGCGCACGTACGCTCACATAACAGACAGACCGAGAGACACACGTGCGCGCACAAACAGACACACATCAATATATATATATATATATATATATATATATATATATATATACACATATATATACTATTTAAATACTTGCTACATCGATAAATGGTTTTTACGCGCACCATTGGGTTCTTTTTATCTGGGAAGAAAAATTTCATTCGTTTAAGAAAAATGCATGTGTACAAAATCCATAGACAGGATTTTGTAATGGAGAATCCGTTATCGCGAAATTAAAGATTCTCTTGCAAATATACACATTATATATATGTATATGTATATGTATATGTATATGTATATGTATATGTATATATATATATATGTATATGTACACACACACACACACACACACACACACACATTTATTTCGATTAATTCATAAGGCAACATGGATATGTATAATTATTTTCTTTATCTTTCACATTATAAAATTATTTCTTATTTTGGAATAGTTTTCGATTCGTTTTAGTAGAAAACATTCTAGTGGTAAGAGTAAAAAAAATAACTTGTCGAATTTTTTAGATAGAGAATTCATTCGCAGAAAAGACACAGCGATTTTTAAGTATAAAAAGGCAAAACAGACGCAAAAACGATAAGGAAGGAATCCTTTGCGAAACCTAATCAATGAAAACAAACTACTGTTTCTCTTTATTACAAATCGTTTACTGCTATGTATGTATACCGCGTATTGCATCTGTTCCCGAAATCCTTTTTATCTCGAAGAAATCGTTATTTATCGCTTACAGCCTAAGACGCGTAACGTGCAAAACTTGCTTTACAAAAAAAAAGTATTCGTACGAAACAAAAAATACTGTCGAGTCCCTTACATCTGATCACAGTGTCGCTGTCTGTTCTACGATTCGTCTCATAATTTGAATTTCAATCGCTCAAACGTACACTTTGAGAAATATGGAAGATACAATCGAAGGAAGAAATAATCATGAGAAATTTAAATTAAGGCACGACGTGAACGCCAATTTTTCTTATTTACGGGATTCTGTCGACCACGTGGACGTAATGATAAAATTCTTTGTTTTCGACCTCTATCAATTATTACTTTCATTATAAAATCATAAGCCGTCGTTCTACCGAATTCTATTGGAATCGAAATCAAGCGCAATTCGCTTGCAACATGTATTTTCATTATTCGGTAAATATTCGCGGTATAAAATAAATTTGTACATTAATGGTTAACAAGTGCTCAGAGAATAAAGTGTATTCATCTATAATGTAGCGCTTTCGTTATTGAAGTATCATTCATCGAGTCTACTCGACAATTCTTGAATCACGTCGGAATTTATTTTTGGAAAGCGAATGATGTTAAAACATTGTTACTGCAGCATACGCGCACATGCGCATATATAAGTTTGCTTGTGATTGTGTGTGTTTGCGCGTGTGCGCGTACTTACATACTTATGCGTAAAGCAAACGATTTTTAAGAATTTAGAAATACGAACATCTCTTAAGCGCACATTGAAATACTATAATATTTACTCGTTGTTTACGAGTATATTTACGAGTTAACGAGCCCGTCGAAGAAAATCGTTTTCCAACGTTTTATGAAAGTGAAAATCGCCACTGAAGATAGGATGGATGGGCGCGCTTAAATGCCAGGCAACGTAATTAATTCGCGTGCTCGCGTTAAAGAAAAAGTGATGGGGAGAGGGTGGATGGGTCCGAGTGAGGCACTTGCATCTCCGGATTACGAGTCTGGATTACTTCGTCTTCGGTAAGCAGCAATTGAGAAGCCTACGCGTCGCCGAATTGAGGTCGAATATGTATTGGTCGGGGAACGGCGCCATGGAAGCGGCGCCATGGCCGCCTCTTTTTCGATAGACAAGACCGCTTTGAACCTCTGGTCATTGTGGGAGTGAGCTCGAGCCGCGGGTAAGGGCGGAGGGCGCGAGAGCCGGTCGAAAACAAAGAATTCCACCGAGCTTCGAGCGACCGGGCCGGTAAAAAGAAAAAACTGGTGGCCATCGACGTCGACGATCCTCATGGGGTTTTGCCAAGGTGGATGGTTATAGGGGACTTTTGGTGGGATCAGGGGCGAAGGTTGAGAGGAAAATGCTCCAGTCACGAGAGAGGTGGGTGTGGAGGACCCGAGACATTTTCGGCCTAGGGCGGTAGGAAGAAGCCGAAAGGCATTACGCAATCCTTGGGCATGAAGCAGTCGTGAACGGTCTTCATGTGGTTTTTCATCTTGTCCGGCCTCGAGAATTCCTTGGCGCAAACCGGACAAGGGAAGACTTTGCGTTGGTGGCCCTCGTGGTAGAGGAAGGCGTGTCGCTGGAAGCTGTACTTGTTCTTGAAGGTCTTTTGTATATCGACCTTGGCGCACTCGGTGCACTGGTAGATGCCCTCGGATATCGAGGCGTAGCGGAAAAGATTAAGCCCACGCACCGACATCTCCGTCAGCTGCTCGGCCGGGTCTTGGGACTGAGACGTGGCCCTGCGACGCATGCGCCGTTTCGGTACCTGGCGACCCGTCGGCGCACTCATCGAGCCGGCTTGACCGGGGCTTTGGTTCGTCGGTGCCGTCGGCGTCTGTGGCGTCGTCGTCGTCTGTTGTTGTTGTTGTTGTTGTTGTTGTTGTTGTTGCTGCTGCTGCTGCTGAAGACTCGCCGGCCGGGGTAAAGAGGACGAGCGCCCCGAGGCCGCTGCGGCCGTTGTCGCGGCGCCTCCGCCTCCGCCACCTCCGCCCCCGCTGCTCGTCGGCGGATTGCTGGGAGCGGAGGGACTGTGGGAGGCAGCGTCCGCGGCGGCCAACCCCGCGGATGGCTGCTGAGCACCCGAGGACGGTTTCTCGGGGCTGCTATGGGCCCGGGCCTTATCCGACGACTCTGACTTTACGTTGCTACTGCTGCTGCTGTTGTTGCTGTTGTTGCTGCTGCTGCTGCTGCTGTTGTTATTGTTGCTGCCGCTTCCACCGCCGCCGCCGCCACTGCCGCCGCCACCACTGCCGCCGCTGGTACTCGTAGTTTGTGCGTAATCTGTAAGTGGTCAAAAGCAGACGGGGCTTAAATTAGTTGTCAAAAAGCTATTGTGAGGTAAAAGGATGGATCAAGGGAGAATGGAAAGACGCTGGCGACCGGAGTGACTAGCGTCGCCTGCAGCGTCATCTCCAAGAATAACGTGTCACATTCAAAGTGCACGTACCAGAGGTTCGTTCGATCGGGGCGAACATTTGCCGAACAATCGGCTCTACGCTTACATCCAACGGATTAAACGAGTAGCTTTTATTACTTACGGCCACCGAAAAAAAATGCCAAAGATTTTACTACATTTAATCAAACCTTCGGTACGTCATTCGCACGTTAATGAGCGATGTATTAATACATGTAAGTTACTTCCATTGAAGAATCAAGGCTCATTAACGCGTGTACATATATAGCTATATATACCTACGTATATATGTGACAAAAATTCTACGATTTACCAAAGTGCCCTATCTGACAGCTCATGCGAACCAAGTTAAGTACAAAATAATAATAATAATAATAATAATAATAATAATAATAATACATAAGAATAATTGATAATACTCGATTGAACAAACGAATAAAGTAAAATTTAAACGAATTGTCTATCAAACGACAAACAAATATAAAATATAACCATTTATACATAATAAATAACAATAATCTGAATTTTTTTTCATTTTTCCATTCAACGTAATTACAACTTTAATAAAGAATTTGATTAATTAAATGATAAGTAACTAATAAAAAATTGATTGAATTATGAAAAATAAGTTTATAATTGGCAACTCATGCAAGCCAATAAGTGAAACTATTAATGTATCTAATTATAAAAAAATATCTATGAATATTAAATAATAATGGCAACAGTAGTAATCGTAGTAGTAGTAGTAGTAAAGTATTAGTAACAATAATAATTACGAAGAAATAATAGTCATAACATAATAACACTAACAACAACAACAACAACAATAACTACAATAATAATAATAATAATAATAATAATAATAGTAAGAATAATAATATCAATAATATCAACAACAATAACAACAACAACAACAACAATAATAATAATAATAATAATAATAATAATAACAATAATGATACAGAATACTGCTGTACTAAACAAACTGAACGAAAATCATAGTTTATAATAAATAGTTAACAGGAATTATAATTGGTGCAGGGTTAAATAAAAAATTTAGATAAGTAAATATTTAAAATCATACCATTCTTTAATAAAATTTGCGAGACAACGTTTGCGTATGTAAATCATTATGTGCTTACGTTTTTTACGCACATAACGCGAGCTTCCATAATATATATTTACGCGCGCATATATGTATTTATATATCGTCGCAGAACTGCTGTATCATAGCACAAAGACTAAAGTAGCTTATTTACAAAAGAGAAGAACAAAATAAAGAAAGGACAATTAAAGAAAAAAACGTTAAGTGTACTAATAACGAACAGATACACACATTATCGGTGTTTATTTCGACTTAGACAAAAAAGATTTAACTAGTACGTATGTTAGTGACTAAGGATTAAAATCCTTTTGTCGGTCGCGATGTTCGAACGAGCAAATAGAAAGTGTTATTGAGCTTTGCTTAATAAATGACTCGCATTCTCTTCAATTTGCAACACATTTCGATTTTCCGAAACTAAAACACAGATAAAAGAATATTCTCGAGACACTTTCAGTGCCATCGAGTATTTGATTTTTGTACTTTGCGAAATTTTAAATTTAACAACTTTCGATCTCTCGAGTTGCATCCACTACGTATAAACCATCAATGACACAATGTCTTGGTTACTTATATGCATCAATGCAGCTTTTTTCCATTTACTTTCATTTTGTTATTATATTTGCAACATATGTAAAAGCAATGGACATGAAAATTTTACGTTCGCAATGAGGCGAAAAACTCATATCGTTCGTCGTACACTCTAACTTTTCTAATTTCATAAATCAACAATACGTGTAATCAACATGCAAAACAAAAAAGATATATTTTTATAATATTAATAATAATAATAATAATAATAATAATAATAAATCATTTCTTACGTTCATTTTATCATTTATACAAAAGGTTCGAATATAAGGAAACACAAAACGAAACTTAAATGATAAAAAAATATATATGTACAATCTTGCCAAGAGTCGAATAATTCTGATTAAGTCAATAAAACATCTATATAGGTGATATTTACAACTCGACGATGTACGTGACTTCGACAAGAATGAACGAGCGATTTTATTTACAATCGCATAAAATTAAATGTAGATTTACTTATTGAACGTTTAAAGACAAACTTTGATAAAATCAGATATTCAAGAAACTTGGCAAGTGACTGGCGCAAGAATACATACATCTAATAAGGAAAAAATATCATATAAAGTATAGTATAATATAATATATATCTGTATATGTATGTATGAAACGAACATATATATATATATATATATATATATATATATATATATATATATACGCGCGCGTGTGTGTGTTTAATAAAAATGATAACTAAATAAACATAATTTTTGGCTAAGAATTAAAAGTAAGTAAACTAATAAAAAGACTCGACATCATATGACACGAAGTTGTTTCATTTCAGTTAATTGTGCATTTTTGTTCCATTGGTCGATTTAGAAAAAATGATATTCATGGAAAAATCGCTGTTATTGTAAATTGACACTTTTTTCCTCCTCGACAGTTAGAAGTAAAACGAACTTCGCTCGTAGTATTCTGCTAACTCGAAATTAGAATTTCATCAATCATCATAAATCCATTCGAAAATAAACATTATTTTGCAATTAAATTTACACTCAATGCAATCATTATCAATATAATAAAAGTATTAACTATTGCTTCTAGAAACTAATTTCTTTTTTGAAAAAAAAAAAAAAAAAAAAAAAAAAAAAAAAAAAACCATTAAGAACATGTACATTTAGATAATATAGTATATAATATAGTTTATATTTTCATAATTTGACAAATATAAAAACAGAGTAAATGCGTATTAAAATGAATTTACGATGTCGAACATTGAATTAGGCGTACGTAAATGAGATGAATTTGGTGTGACATTAAAAAAAGAAAGACTACTCGCTGCCAATGTTTTGATCTATTATCAAAATTAGAATACTGAAATACAAAAGGTCATCGGTCGAATAGAAAATTTGAAGAGTCTCTTCAATCGGTATCTTAGTACCATTAAAAATTTCAGTATCTCAGTATAGCTAAAATTTATCATTACAAAACTAATGGCATCTCAATTTTTATTCTTGTAACTATTGCAATCCGTTTACACTTTTATATGCACAAATAATAAAAATAAAAACATCGACTATAAACTTTTGTTCTAATATACAAAAAGGTGAACAACTATATTTTACAGGTTGAAGTAATTACCTTGCGTTCGTCATATTCATATGGTTATGAGTCAGTAGTTTTCTTCCTCATAAGAAGCTTCGTTATTCTCGTAATCTCACTGGCTATGTGATTCATCCCTTTCACGTATAAAACTGTTTTAATCGTTAGTAGCAATTCTTTGTCGATGTTAAAATAAAAAAATAAAATGAAACGTAAATAGAAGCAAAGGTTTGGGCCGACAAAATGGCTCGCTGTTACTTCTCAAATGCATATAAAATGAAAGAAAAAAAATAAACCACCACAAATGTCTTAAGCGATATCGAATGAAAACGCACATAAATACAAAACTAAAATTCAAGGCATAGCGTAACGTCCAATTTGGTTAAAAACAGAAAAATTTTTTTTTCTTTTGTCTTTTTTTTTTTAAATAAATAAAATAAAAAAGCGCGCGTACAAAATTACCTCTCTAATCAGAGAATATTGCTCACGCGCTGTGTGAATACACAATATATAAAAACACAATGTACAACTTACAATAAATTTTATTAATCGTGACTTTGTGTTTTTTTTTTCTTTCGAAATTACATCAATGTAATAAATTCGACTAAAACGAGAAACAACTAAAAAATATATAGATTACACCTTTTACAAATGACGACGAAAAAAATTAACAAATGACTTGGTATTACAATAAAACTATAACTCTAGGTACAATATCTTCAACTACTTTCTTGTGTTCGCAGAAAAAAAAAATATATATATATATAAAAAAAAAAAAAAAAAAAAAAAAATAAAATAAAATAAAATAAAAAAAAAAATTAATAAAAATGACAACGCATTATATTTGGCTTGAAAAAACGATGATTACGCAATAGAGGTACGATTTTTCACACATCGCGCGAAAAACGTCCTCTTTCATCCCCATTATACATATAATATTTTATTAGTCTTCTTTTGTTGTATTTCGAACACAACGCTCTTACAAAACAAAAAAGACATAAATGAACAAAAACAAGAAATAATAAAGAAATGCGGTCAGCAGAGCGAGACTTAGTACATAGAATAAAACCTTTGATAATTACGATCTATTGAACACCGTTCTTTTTATTATCGATAGTCATAATGAAACAATCAGTGCATATAAAATATACTAATTCTACCCAGCGTCAGAAAAAGACTCGTCGCGTCGTCATAGTCGTTCTCGTCGTCATTGTCGTTATTTTATCCCCCATTATCTCATTCATTTTCTCCCTCAGGCATTCATTCCCACGTTCTCCCGATAAAAATTTTACCTACAAAATTTGCAAAACTTTTTTTTAATTTACGTTTTATCGACTTCCAACCCCAACATTAAACGCGATAAGGTCTCACTTATTTGGCACTAGATTTCCGATCGTACGGTACACGATCGCACGATGAATTTAAATAACAATTTTTCGTTATTTTCTTTGAAAGTCTTCATTAAATCCATTAAAACTCATGCGCGATCATCGTATTGTTTTTTTTTGTTTTCGTTTTCTTTTTACATAATTTTCATTTTTCTTTAAACGTTTTGTTTTAATTATTTTTTTTTTTTTTAATTTTCTCTTTATATATTCACATTCGCTTGAAAAGGCACCAAAATGGGGATCA